CAATGTGTGATACGGTGGGAGAACTGACTTGAGGTTTTGCGTTTGTGTTTTCAAATGTTTCGGTTTAGCAAGAGTCGCCACCGAATTTTTATTTTATCCAAAGGAAAGGTCAAAAAGCACATGAAAGACCTTTGAGATGTTTTCTTGGGTTCGGGGGGTAGATTATGAAAAGGGAAGGTGCTAGCACCCTTTTCATCCATGGTTTTCCATGGGCTCTTAGTTACTTGTTTAGATCACTTGCTTTTGCTTTTCAATTGTTTGAAATGGTGCTTTGTGTGGTTTTGAAAGTATTTTGAAAAGAGGCCTTTGTTTTGGCAACCTTTGTAATAATTCTTGTTTGAATGTATACAAAGGTGTTTGTCTTTTGAAAATGTTCCAATGTTTGAAAGTTTGTTTTGTAAAATGTTTTGAAATTGTGTATGTGTTTTTGAAAATAGCAAGGATGGTTTGCAAGAGATCAAGTAACTAGGAGTTGTCTACCCTAACTCAAAGATCTTTCCTACACATTTTTAACCCTTTGACATTGTTGTTTTACCATTGTATTTGGTAAACAACCTTGTGTTTGGATGTTAAACGGGACAGGCGCGGGTCATCGTATGATCCTGATAGCAATTGTGCCAAGTATCTTTAGCAAATTTTTGAGGGACTGGATCATTTTTGTATAGTAAACCAAGTTAGCGTCATCGAGGGACTATGGTCTTTTTGTTTTGTTTTGTTTTGCCAAGATACCTAGCATGCATACCATGGCCATGCTTTTAAGGCAACAAATGGATGAAACCCTAGGAGTGCTTGTGTGCATTGTGTTGTCATTTTTCATGCATTTTTTTCTTGTGTTTAATCATGCTATTTGTTTTGATTTTTGTTGTCATACAAATCCTAATTTACTAACCATGCATTTGAAAGCAATAAAATGCGTAAAAGTAAATCTAAGACTATTACAACATTGATATGGGGAGGGGGATACAAGTTTGAATAAGGGGGTATTTGCAAGAAAATAAAACCCTAAAATTATTATTACAACCATATTGAATTCATTGTACAAATAATAAATTGACAAATATTTAAATATGCAAAAATATAAATATGCACAAAATGTTTTTGATATTAATTTTTACGTATGTAAACAAAAGTTTATTTAAAAATAAAATTAAAAGAACAATGATTATTTTGGAAGGGTGGAAACCCTAGTTTTGTTTTAAGAAAATATATATATTATATTATTTATTTATGTACAAATAAATAAATAAAAATATATACAAAAGTGCTAAAAAAAATAATATTTGTGAAAAAAATAATATTTTAAGTGTATAATATAATAAAATAAAAATATGTAAGTATTTTAATTTTATTTACAAATTTATTTAAGAAAATAAAAGTATATATTATTTAATAAACTATTTCTATGTTCAAAAAATAATAAAAATAATAAAATAAAATGTAAAAAATTAAGAGAATATTTTTTGTGATTTTAAATATTTAGAAAAATAAATAAAAAGTCAGAAATATAAAAGAAATAAAAAAATATACAAAAATAATCAAATGGGCCAAGAGGGTGCAGAAAGCAAGCAGGGGGGTGTCAATAGTGAGAACAACCAAGCCCAGTCCACGTTCCTTTTCATCCCTGACCTTGTGACAAAGAAACGCGCGCGCCATGTTCAAATCTGGAACTCCTGCATACGTGCTCAAAAACAAAAACTTTCAACATGAAAGTTACAGCTCTTGATCACACGATTCTAACCATGTAAAAAACTTGATCTAACTCTCAAAGACCAGAGAGAATTTCATTGGCCCTAAATCTTGACCTAGTTTTTTCAGTAAGTTCAACTATCAAATACTCCTAGCTCAGTTAACATAAATGAATTCTATGCATATGTACAGCTCAAGGACAATGAAGACTACATTTTTGCTTCACAAACCTAAGCCTAATGATTCCTAAATAGAGAGATAGAAGTTTGAAATTTACCTGTTTCATTTAAGCTCGAGTATGGAAATGCAGCAACTTTCAGTGAGGCCTGAGGTTCTTTTGAGCTTGCCTGAGGTTCACTCAACCTTTCTCAATGCTTGGCTTGCTTTGAAATGGCCTGAATATGCTTGTAGAACTCAACCTGCAAAGCTTCAAAGAAAAAATGGTGAAGTGTGAAAATGGAGTTACAGTGGCTTGATAATGGTTGGGATAGTTTAGGTATGTTGTATGGAGTGTGTTGGAACTGGTTTCAAGCAAAACGCACGAGTGGATTTGGTTTTGACTTGTGATTTGCAGAAATTGCCCTGTTTTGGGCAGAAATGAAGTTTTGGTGTATTTGGGTGTTTGAGAACTTGCTAGCTCGTGTTTCTGACCTTAGGCAATGTGTAAAACTTGTTTGAAATGTTACAAAGACTTTCTCTTATCAGATTCCAAAGATGTGGACCTTTTGCACAATTGCTTGTTTTTGAAGTAAAAGGTGGAATTGACAATGCTATGGCCTGTACAGGATAGCTATAAGCATGCACATAGTTGGTGTACTTTGCATGATATTAGTGGAGTTGGTTTGCTGTAAAAGATTGGGTTCACAGCTCAAGAGAAACAAAATTGCAAAAGTTGTGCTTTATGGAAATGGTATTGTTGCCTTTTTGCCAAAAATGGATTAAACCTTTGTATAATGCTTCATAGATCAGAAAAATGCCTTAATCCAATGTGTTTGCATTTAATTTTTGAGTGTAGAAAGGTTTATAACCTGTAAACCAAGTACAAGTATGCTTAGGACAAATTTGTAAGTTGTAACATGGTGCAAAATGCCTTGGCCAAAAGTGATAATTTGTCATTTTCAAACTTTAGATTCTCCCTAACCATAAATGATCTTGGAGAGTTCTTAGACATTTTGGAAAGCTTGTAACATGATATACAATCCATCTTTGAAATGAATTTTGAGATTATACTTGGAACTATGTGAAAAGTTGCCATGAAGATAGGTTAAAATCCTGCCTAAACTAGGGCAAAATTTCACTAAGTTAAAAGTTTTATGGACCCCTATTCACAAAATCATAACTTGAGATCCAAGCATCTTTTGGGAAAACTTTGTGAATAAAAGTTGTAGATTTTGTGGAGGACTACAACTTTAATGTTGTAAGTTTTCTTTGAATCCAATTGCATCATGGTGAAAAAGTTTGGAAAAGTTGGAAAGAAATAAGAAATTTTCATAACTTAGAAAATTTCTAAGTTATGAAAATTTTCCATTTTAAACCCTAATTTCCAAAATTAGGTTTCTTGGTGAAAAAGTTTCATGTTTTGAAACATCTTGATGAAAAATGACCCTTGTCACTTGATTTTGACCAAAAAGTCAAAGTTTGACTTTTCAGTGTACAATTGATTTTTGATCAGTTGATTGGAAAATTCATCTGTCAATCCAATGCATTTGAGATCTTTTGAACCTTGTGATTAGGTCAAGATGATGCCATTGGGTCCTTGAAACCATGATTGAACCCAATTTGCCATTGGCTAGGTGAAAAATCAGAAATTGCCCTTCTGTAGTCAAAACCCTAAAAATGACCATTTTGCCCTTTTGATGATCTGATCAAATTTCTTGAGGAGTTGTGGTCCAAACTTGATCAAATAGTTCATATGAGTTTATAATGTTGATGTGGATAAAAAATTATGAGGTTTGACTGTAAATTGGCCACATTTGACTTTTTCTCCAATACAGCTGATTTCTAGGTCAACTGTCCAATTGACTGGGCAAAAATTTGATTCAAAGCTTGAAACTTGGTATGAGAAATCTTAGAGGTCCAACATGAAGCATGAAAGTCACATTGAACATTGAAAGTCCAAAAATCCCTGTGCAAACTCAAACCCTAATTTCAGGTCAACAGTGCAATAAGATGTCTTGAGCTGAGCAAACCCTAATTTTGTCTTGAGTCCAAAGAGTCTTGTGAGAGGAATCTTGATAAAATGAGAGGGAAAATTTTGGGTTACAACACAATGCTTCTTAATCCTTTTTTTAAAATATTCTTGAATTTGATTATGTTAGTAAAAAAAGGATTTGATGTCGGTTAGTTGTTTTAAAATATAGAGCAAGGGGAGTCTGATATAGTCTCCTGGTCACGTGATCAGATATTGACTCTGTGCTGCTCGTTATGAAAGATGCGGAGGAAGTATGATATATTCTTCCTCACCACATAGCCAGATATTGACTATGTGCTGCTCGTCATGAAGGATGCGGAGGAAGTCTGATATAGTCTTCCTCACCACAAAGCCAGATATTGGTTTTGTGCTGCTCGTTATGAAGGATGCAGAGGAAGTCTGATATAGTCTTCCTCACCACGTGGCCAGATATTGGCCACATGTCGCCCATTGAATTGTGTGGTAAAATATTTAATTAATTTATCTTAAATAAGTGTTTGATGTTTTGAACAATAAACCGGTAAACGATGTGTCAGCCGATTTAATTACTCGCTGAGGGACACCTTATTATTTATAGAATGTTTGAATTAATTATATCATAAAAAATGTTTGATTATGTATAGCATTTGATTTTTTTAGTATTTTGATATTTTTAATAATCAAAAGAAAATAAATTAATTAAGTTAACAACAAAGTTTTAATAACTAAAATTTAAAGGGTGTTTGATAGCAGGCTGAGTGGTGTAAGATTTAGAAAAAGTATAGACAAGTAAGAGATTAGAAACATTAGCGCAAAAGGCTCAGCCCAAAATAAGTCCTAATTTTTAAATTTTAATCAAATAATTTAAAATCTAATAAACTAATGAGAATATATCCACTTGGTCAGACTCCTCACGTTGCTACAACTCCAAAATTCCAATTCTCCTAGACCCAATAAAACAAGCGCCAATAGGATTTAAAACAAAAAAATGTTTCTCTCACGCTATTACTGTGAATAGAGAAACAACCCATTCTTTCATAGATAACAAAACTCTCTTCTTCTCTTTGAAACATCAACCACCATAACATCATAATAAAAAAAATGGCAGAAGAAAAAGAAACAAACTCTTATCTTAGGATGAAGGTCAGCGGAACCGGAAGAGACAGATTGCAACACGGCGTCCATGGCGGTTTTCACGCCGGGTTCTATATGCAGATCGCGGCGACTTCCTGGGCTGGACGACCGGATCTGGTCTGATCTGAGTGGCTGGGTGGCGAGATCCGCGGTTGTCGATAGGGGTGTTATCGGAGAACAGCGAGTTTGGGAGCGGGAGGAAACTGGCGGTTCTGACGACGAGAGGCGCATCGTCGATTTCGAACCTGTATGGTGACGCTGCTCTGTCTGACGTTGATGGAGGAGCAGTCACGATGTAAGTTTCTGGAAGCACAGTCAAAGTCGGAGATGGAAGCCTGGCGGCGGGCGCAGGGGCGTTGTGTGCGACTACTTTTCTGTTGTTCTGCAAAAATAAAACTCAGATAGAAATAATATTGTTTTGGATTTTGATTTTTTTGCTAATCAATGTCGTGTTTTCTGTATGATCTTTGGTTCAAGCTTGAGGTTTGAATAATTTTGATTGAAATTAGGCTATGCTTTTATTGTTTCCAATGGCGAGTTCTATTCCAAAACATGAGTTGTGGTGAATGCGAGGATGGAGGCCAATTCCTTCTCCGTTTCTTTCTCCTTGTTTCCTAAAAACAAAAGAAACTCGAGTATAGTAGTAAGTTTACAGTTTTAGTGCTTGGTTTGAGATAAAATAACGCTAGTAGATGGTGACATTGATTGTAGCCTATTGATAAATAAAACCATACGTGCAGGAAAATAAGAACGTTGGGAGCTTTTTTGGAAAAAACAATTTTGTAAGAGTGGATGAATAGTTAGTATGGATAGTTAGTGAAAAAGCAGGTATTTTGCACCGTGTGGTTTTTCATTAGAAAATTGTTAGTGAATGTTCCTAAAAATAAATGTTTAATAAAAATGTGTAGAAATTCTGTGAATCTTACCGTGTGTATAAAATTGACCTCTAAAAATGTAATTTAAAAATAAATAAATTACTATCATATAAATATCATGTGGTGTTTAAAACAATTAAAAGGAAATAAAAAATTGAAAATCAATGGGAGGCCTTATATTGAATCATCCACTAAAAATCGTAGAAAGAAAAAACATGTGTGTAATTGCAAGTTTGTGAATTTCTTGATGAATTGTGTGTGTGCAATTGCAAAATTATGGATGAAAAATTAGGACAATGAGAATACCTATTTATAGAGTGGAAATTAGGTTAAACCCCTGAAAAAGGAAACTATCCAATACCCAAAGCCCAAATTAGATTTTATTTATTTATAAGGTATTTTGACTATCTTTTAAATAAAATAAATATTTTAATAAAAAATGACATTTTTAAAATATAATAAATAAATAAATACGAAAGTAATAATTTAATAATAAAAAATATGATTTTTGTGTTTAGAAAATGAAAATAAAGTTAGTAATAATAAACAGCAAAAATGTCCAAAGTGCACCAAGTGAGATTCAAACTCGTGACCTTCTGCTTGCCAGTCTTTCTCCCTTACAAACTGTGTTATGTTACTTATTCGAAAGTAAAAAGCCAATTGAAAGCATATGACAACGAAAAATTATTTGCTATTTTTACAAGTAATTATTATATTTTTAAACAGACTTGAAAGCGAATTTTTATTAAAAAATCTCAGAATGTTAATATAATTAAATCAAAGGAATTTTATATCCGTAAAACCCAAGTTCGAAAATAAATTTGGCGGTAACACTAAGGCGTGCAAATTTGGGGTATGACACAAAGCCTATCTTTGATTCTCTTCAGATGACACATGAAGGCAATGCACAAGTAAAGGAAATAAAGGCTCTGGCCTTAATTCAAAAATACGAAGCTTTCAAGATGGAAGACGACGAATCTATGGAAACAATGTTTTCAAGATTTCAGACTCTTGTGGTAGGACTTAAGGTTCTGAATAAAGGTTACTCTACAATATATCATGTTAAGAAGATTATTAGAAGTTTGTCTAAAAAATGGAGACCTATGGTGACTGCTTTGAAACTTTCAAAGGATCTGAACAACACCTCTCTTGAGGAGCTGATTAGCTCTTTAGGAAGTCATGAAATAGAGCTTGATCAAAATGAAACTCATAAGAGGGTAAAAATATTTAATTTAAAGCCTACGTCTGCAAATACCAAGGCTTATCAAGCTAAGAAAGAATCAGAAAAATCTGAAGAAGATTCAGATGATGAAGAACTTTTGTTGATATCTAGAAGAATCAGTCAAATATGGAAGCATAGACAAAGAAAATTCAGAAGTCAATGAAGGACTTATGAAAGAGGTGAATCCACTTCTGATAAGAAGAAAGCTTCTGAAAAAGAAGTCACATGCTTTGAATGCAAGGAGCCTGGACATTACAAAAATGAATGCCCTAATCTCAAAAGGGATAAGAAACCTAAGAAGTCATACAAAGCTAAGAAGGGTCTCATGGAAACATGGGATGATTCAGAATTAGAAGTTGAATATTCTGATGAAGAGCATTCCAACATAGCACTTGTGGCTAGAACCAACACAAGTGAAGCAGCATCAGAAGACAAACTGACACTTGATAATGAGTCAGACTCTGATGACAAATAAGAGGTACTTTCTTCCTTATCTCGTTCTAAACTTAAAATTGGTTTATCAGAACTAATGAAAAGGTATCAATCTCTTCTAAGTAAACATAAAATCTCGAAAAAGAGTTTTGTAGCTACTTCTGAGAACACTACTATATATGAGCAAAATATTTCCGACTTAAATGAAAAACTATTTGGTTTAGAAAAATTAACATTGCTCTGAAAAGTAAAGTGTCTAGATTAGAAGAAGATATTTTCTCTAACACATCTATTACTGATGAAGTAATCAGATATGATAAAGCTTTTCAACATTTCCTTGCTAAAAGCATATTAGAAGTAAAATGGCTTCAATGATCTATGGTGTTATTAGAAATGGAAGCATCGGCTTGGGATATTCAGGACCATCAAAGAAAATTGCTAAAACTCTTAATGTCAAACCAAAACCTCTTTCTGAATATTTCGTGCTTGCTGGCACAAATTTGAAATGCCCAGAACAAGAAGGTTCTGGTAATACTGTAGCACAAACACAAACACAAAAGGAAACTTCTATACTAAAGTATCATGTATAAATTTCACATGATTATCATGTTGCACAAAAGTCTAAAGGTGTCAGAACCTCTGGAACTTCTAACAAAAGAAGACCCATAAAGTGGGTACCCAAAGATAAGATAATCTATGTTTCAAATGTTCTTGATGGTGCAATATAAACACCAATTATGGCACCTGGACAATGGATGCTTGAAACACATGTTGGGCGAAAGGCATATGTTCCACGATTTGGAACTTAAGTCTGGAGTCATGAATAGTTTCAAAAGCAACCAGAAAAGAAAGATTATTAGCTCTGAAACTCTTGTAATCAAAGATGCTATTATCATAACAAGACCTAACTTTAAATCTTCTGGAGAAATGCTTTTGAGCTTTGATGATCTCGCTTGTGCCATCTCATCTTCTGAATAAAGTCTGGATTCTGAAAATTGTTGAAGAATCAGTTGATAGACTATTAGACTTCTATGAGTAACATTCCTATTCTCTTTAAACCTTATTACCGTTATTGCATTTCCTTCAGAACCTCAGTAATCAGAAGATGTTTCAGTCAGAAATATCTTTGATTAGATGGAAACAGTTCTCCAGACTCCGAGGATATCAAACGTGTCACTTAGTTAGAAGCGTGATTAACGAGTGTAACCCTTGGTTATACCTAATCATCACACGCTACCTAAGCTAGATTTTGAGCAGAATTTTTTTCTTGGAATTGATTTGTCATGATTACTTTCATTAATTACCCCTCATTGTTTCTTTTAGTTTAAAATTGTTTTTATTTTTCTAAAAATCACTTCATAATTTTAAACACACAACCTAACTTCACTTCCCACACTGGTTAGAAACCCTAAAACCCTTTTCTCTCAATTGTTCTTCATTTCTCTCAGAGTTCTCAATCTTCTTCAAAAGTTCTTCTATAACCTTCTTCATCATTTCCATCCGTTTTCAACGATGATGACTCCTGATCAAGAAGAAGTTGTTAAGTTTGCTAGTGAAATGGAACAAGCCTTGAATCTATTTGTCACAACATCGTCAACCATTGCTCTTTCGTCTTCAACAATGGTTCTGTCATCTTCAACCATTCCGCCTACAACTGCAATCGCTTTAGCTTCATATTCCAATCTAGTGGTTGACGCGAACCATATCACTCAGAAATCTTTTCAAGTTCACTGCATCGTTCCTCCATATGAGTTAGTAGTTCTTCGTGAATACATGGTCGATTTTGATAATCTTGCTGAAAATGGGTGTGACATTAGAGAGGAGTTAGAGGATCAAGGGTGGGAAAACTACTTTCAAAGGCTATATGGTCCTATTTATGGAGCGTTAGTAAAGGATTTTTGGAAGAATGCTTACTATGATGATCTTCACATTGTCTCGGATGTGATTGGTTAAAGAATAATCATCACACAAAGTCTATTGCGGATCTTCTAGGTATGGAGTTTTTGAAAGGAAAATGTATGTTTGGAATGGAGTTTAGGTCTAATTATCAAAAGAATGCTCTCCGTTAATTGTTGTTTAAGAATTACACCGCTGAGAAGAAAGAGTACAAGAGTAAGGATCTTTATGATAATTTGATAATTTGGCACAAGATCATTATGGGTTACATAAAACCTAGTCCCCCGACAAGTTATTCGGATTATTTCAACATCAGCCAGTAGTTCATGTTGTATTATTTGCTTGCCAAAAAGAAGGTGACTCTTCCCTTTGTTCTGTTTAGTCATTTGAAGGAGGCTATCAGAAAATCAAGAACCACTACAAATTAAGAGAAAAAGGTCTCTCCTAATATTCCATGTGGACGTCTTCAGACGGACATCTTTATAGAAAGTGGTTTGTTAGACTTTCTGACAAAAGAGGCCAAGTTCACTGAATACTTGATACCCAATGCTGGAGAACCATTTAATGGACAAACCTTGAGAAACATGAAAATAATCCCGAAATTTAAAAAGAAACACTTTGGTGAGCCAGCTGAAGTCACCAAGGATAGAAGAATCCCTGTTGACAACTTTCCTCTATTCTTTGAGAGTGCTAAACTAACTAACATGGCTGAATATGTTGTAAGGATGTCTAGAGCAGGACACAATATGTCTAATTTCGACATCACCAAACCTCTACTGAGGAAGTTGATTGTTCTATAGGGAAAAGGAAGAAGAGTTAAGAAGCTTCTGACTTGGAAAGAAGAAGAAGAAGAAGTCTGGAACTTCTAATACTCTGACTCTAGTTGCTTATCCATAAACAACAAGTAAGTCTGCTACTACTACTTCTGTACTTGTTTCATTGTTTGTTTCTAATACTATTAATGCAGTCTCATCCACTCCAACCACCATCACCACTCCTGTTTCTGTTCCTGTTACAAATATTCCACCTATTTCTGATACCACTTTGGTGTACCCCAAAATTTTCTCTCTCATTTATCAAGAGTTTGCACACAAGATCTCCTTGAGCTCAAGACTGCACTAGGATTGATCAGCTCAAGACACCTCCTCAAGCACTGATGACTGAAAATTAAGGTTTGAGATTGCACAAGGATAATTGAACTTTTAATTCCCCATATGAATTTCATGGATCATTATGGACCCTCAAGATTACTCATGTCAAGTTTCAAGCCTTGGATC